GACAGTCCATATTTTGCTTCCTTTGCAGGTGCATTAACAGAAAGCTAGATCAGAAGCAGAGTAGCCGGGACTTGCACCAACACTCCTATATGGCAACTCCAGTGGCTTAACCTGTTGTGTCAAAATGTAGTCCCCATTCTCTCTGATCTGTGACAACTAACTGAGCACCTAAAAGGAAACTTTTAGAAGTGAAACTGACACTAAGAGAAGCAGTGACTTGATCAGCCCTTGTCCTTAACTGTTGAGGAACAGGTTACTATTTTATTCTTTTTAGTATTTTCTTTTTCTTCTTAATACCATTGGCTGAACCTTTTACTTAACATGGAATTATTCTTAGGTGTTTAAATCCTACTGAAAATTGATCCTGTTAAAAAATAAGAGTGGGGTTGGGGCCAGCACTGCGACGTAGCAGGTTAAGACATCACCTGCCGTGGCAGCATCCCTTATGGGTGCCGATTCAGTCCCAACTGCTCCACTTCCAGTCCAGCTCTCTGCTATGGCCTGGAAAATCAATAAAAGATGGCCCAAATCCTTGGGCCCCTGCACCTGTGTGGGAGACCTGGAAGAAGCTCCTGGCTCCTGGCTCTGGATCAATTCAGTTCTGGCTGTTGTGGCCATCTGGAGAGTGAAATATCAGATGAAAGTCCTCTCTCTCTCTGTCTCTCTTTCTCTCTCTGTGTAACTCTGACTTTCAAGTAAATAAATAAATCTTAAAAAAGTAAGTGTGGAAATAAGAAAGGGAGGAGATGTACAGTTTGGCAGACTCCCTCAGACTCACCCCTAAGGGTAAATTTAAAAACTTGCCAAGGGACTTCAAATCCCATTAAGTTGGCAGGTAACAATGCCATCTTACTAGTTAAAGTGATGATTAGTTGAAGTTCATACTGATCATAAAGATAGGATGAAGTGTCAAAGGCATCACATAAATAAGACCAAGGGTCTGCTAATAAAAATAGATAGAATTAAAAAGGAGAGAACAATCCAACATGGGTAACAGAACACACAGCAGACTCACAGAATGGCAAATGCCCTCAACAGCACTGTTGCCTCAGAATCAGCCCTTAAGGCATTCAGAGCTTGCTAAAAAGCCCATGAGAGCATTTTAGGCATGGAAAGCCAAGACACTGTGGGAAAAAATGTCCTACATGAAAAATCTCTGTGAGAAAGATTGGGCCATCAAAGAAGGAGGTACCTTTCTCTGAAGGGAGGAGAGAACTTCCACTTTGATTATGGCCTTGCCTAAATAAGATCAGAGTTGCTGAATTCAAGAGGCTTCCATAGCTTTGGCAGCTCATGACAAGAGCTTCCGGTGATTACTGATGTCATAAATAAGAGTGTCAATTGTTAAATCAACAACAGCAGTCACTGTGCACTTGCTCCCCGTGTAGGACCTCTGTCCTTATTGTGTTGTACTATGAGAATTAATGGTAATACTAGTCTTCAGACAGTACTTTATACTTTGTGTGTCTGTGTGGGTGAAAACTGTTGAAATCTTTACTTAGTATAGAGTTGACCTTCTATATATAAAGATAATTAGAAATGAATCTTAATGAAGAATGGGATGGGAGAGAGAGTAGGAGGTAGGAGGATTTGGGGATGGGAGGGTGGTTATGGGGGGAAGAACCACTATAATCCAAAAGTTATACTTATGAAATTTATATTTTTTAAATAAAAACTTTCTATAAAAAAAAAAACAAAAAATAGTAGTTTTCCAGTTCACTCCTTTTAATCTTTTCTTTTACTGTCAGTGCAAGTTCCTTTAATAAGCCATCATTCCTTCATGCTTCTCATTGTTATTCTAGTTGCAAGCATGCAGCAGCTCACTGACTCTGCCATAATATTAAATCCAGTATATTCTGCGGGGCTGGTGCTGTGGTGCAGTAGGTTAATCCTCTACCTGCAGCGCCAGCATACCATATGAGCTCCGGTTCTAGTTCTGGCTGCTCCACTTCCAATCCAGCTCTCTGCTGTGGCCTGGGAAAGCAGTAGAGGATGGCCCAAGTCCTTGGGCCCCTGCACCCACATGAGAGACTGGGAAGAAGCACCTGGCTCCTGGCTTCAGATCAGTGCAGCTCCAGCCGTTGCAGCCACTTGGGGAGTGAAGCAATGGATGGAAGACCTTTCTGTCTCTCCCTCTTACTGTCTGTAACTCTAGCTCTCAAACAAATAAATAAAATCTTTAAAAAAAAATCTAGTATATTCTGCATGCACTCTAAAGTCAATACATTATCCCTGCCCCAGTTGTATATTCTCATTAACTTTATCAATCACCTTCAAAATCTAGCCCTGTCTTTACTTTCTTTGCTACTGCCATGATTTGCCCAGTAAGTCTTAGAAATGCTTCGTAATACAGTTTCCTTTCTCAAAAAATATCAAGCCTAGCAATGCTCTAGGAAGGTCACATTGCAACTAAATCTTTCTTATTAGTAGTATTGCCAAGGTGGTTGGTGAAGTAAAATCCAGAGGAAGTGTTCTGTTTCCTCTTAAGATAGAGACTCATTTTATTCCATCATGGGGTTGGAGATGGTGTATGGATTGTGTGTGTGTGTGTTTAATGGGAATCAGGTCACTTGTTCAGGCTCAGAAGTTAAGAAGGAGGCTGAAATGTCAGTCAATTCATATATGACTGCTCTAGAAGTATCCACCTAAATGTCAAAGTTTCATATTTTCTCAACCAAGGGTTTAATCTCTGCATAACAGACCTTCCTTTGTGTAGCATTTACTTTTCTTGGCAGTTCAGTCACTAAGACAATTAAATCTAGACATGGCCCTCCCCTTTCTCTGTTCTTCTGCTACAGAAGATAAGAGCTTCCTCAATGCAACCAAGATTGTCTGGTTTTTACACTTGTTTTTCAATTGCCTGGTGTTCACCTTCAGCTGTTCTTTATCTTTCTGTAGTGAATCCATAATATTTAGACATAATCCTAAAATACTTAAACTTATTACTGCATTCTCTTCCACCATATTCCACTAATTCATTTCTGTTGAAATTTTAGCAACAGGACTGCCACTCATGTCTAGGATAATCTATGTTCCTGTGTACCACCAGCGATATGATTGGATCTTCATCTAGCAACACAGTGAATAATCCCCATCTCATTGCTTGCTTTCTTGGACAAGTCTTCATTATCCATGAATTTGAATTTCTATTAAGTGAATGCTGAGATGGTAGAGGGTACAGATATATATTACAGATAAATACCTGTGAAAGGAAGAAAGTGGAGTTCTATTGAACCAAAGGAGAAGTTCTGAGAGAGGTTAGCCTTAGCTAACCCAGTAAGGAACTTTGGTATGATTAGTGCATGAGTAGTCCCACATCAGGGAGAGGTGGCTTCCTGCACCTGACCTGCGAGCTGAAGAATGGAACAGCTGGAAGCCATCTGCCAACTGCCTCGTGTATCTTGGAAAAAAGTATACCTTGAAGAATGATCTGCCTGGTGCAGCATCAAGCCTAACACAGAGGCAGTGAGTCTTCCAAATGAATTTCCTTCTTCTGTCTTTCTCTGTTTTATGCACAGCCAGGGTTAAATAAATTCAGACAGATGAGAAACTATCTTAACTCTAAAGGTCCTTAGCGAAGAAAAATCTAAATCCCCCCTAAAATATTCATCTCAGAGCTGTGGTAAGGTAAACTACAAGGTTGAAGAAAGCGTATTTTGACAATCTCCTCAGAAAACATTTATTTTTCCTTCCCGATGAATCAGAGAATTATAAGGCTGAATACACTGTGAGTGTAATTCACTAGACTCTTCTTGTTAGGTCAACTGTCCTGGCAAGCTAAGCACTTTGTGTGCCCAGAGATAATCTTTCTTTTAAGGACACCAGTAAGTTCTTGCCCTAAAGATAGGTAAAAGCCCTTCCAAGCAGAACAAATATTTTGTGCAGAGAAAATGTTGAAGAACCAAAATAAATCTACTTAACATGGTAGGCTTTATGAATTTCCATGTAGTTTCCTCTGTTTCTGCTTTTGACTGCAGTTTCAAGTTATATTATTTTCAAATAAAATAAGGGCTAATTATTTAATGTTTACTCCCATGAATCTCAAAAGTCTTAACCCACCCTCCCCTTTGAATGTTTAAGTTGAAAATTTGAAGTTGAGTTTTAGAAATATAATTTTATTGAATTATTAGAAGTTAGAAATATTTGTGATTTTGTGATTTTTAATTCTTTGTGATTGAGTGGCATAAAAAAAATACCTCTATATTCTTCAACTGAGCCTAAATTTTGTGTTACTGCTACGCTACAGGAATTACATTAGGGTCTGAGAATAAAAAGATAGGAAAGAATATGGATATCACATTATTAGCTGGTCATGAGGATGTACTGTTTGAAATTAACCGGGATTTTAGGATGCAAGGGAGTGTTAACGGCACCCTGAATTTCTCTTGTTAGGAGCTCTTTGTGGAAGGGAAGAAGATCTCATTATCTGAATTCTCTATCATTTATACCAATCTGTGTGTGTGATTCCTCTGTACATGATCAAACATGTATCCCTGTTATGTCTTTGTAGATCTAAAGGCTGTTCTTAGAGCTCAAAATGACATATTAAAGTGTCTAACCAAGAGAGAACTGTAAGAATGTTTATAGCTAAACCATCACTATCCTCATATTTCTTGACTCTTGATGACTCTTGATAGGGAATAGCAGGTGTGCTTAGCATGTGGCAAAACAGAGCTTCTCTCAAAACCAAATATAAAGGTTAATCCTGCTATAAAATTCCATGCCTTTTCTTTTCTCTACATATTATGGCTTTCTACATCTATTTGTAGAAGATTTTGTCATTGATGTAACTGGGATTTCTTTTCAGGACTACCCACAGATATGAAGAAATGGAAAGGAAATCATTTATGCATTTGCTCCTGGATCAATAATCTTGGAGTCTGACTGATTAGCGTCTTCAAATGTTATCACTGTTGATTGCAGAACCCTGAGAATAAAGGGGAGGTGGAGTGGGAAAAAATTATTATTCGCACTGTGAACTCTGATATTTTTACTTTCAGGTTACTGATGGAAGAGCCTAAAGGAAAATGTAGGTCAAGTGCTTTTATCCTCTGCAACTTGCACAAGAGCAATCACAAAATCACAGTGACTGGCCCTGATTTTCAGTGATGGAAAGTGAAAGATAATAGGCGAGAAAGCAACACACATGTATTCGTAAGTATTATTTGAAAATACAAGGCAGCATATATCACATTTTAAAAAATTTGAAAGATTAGCTTAATTTGACATTGACTTATTATCACTTATTATACTTATTAGATGTAACTTTTTATGTGATTTTCTCTGGTAATTATTATATTAATATGACAAAGTGACAAAAGGAGAAATTTATAAGGTACCATGTTAATGTGCTCAAATTCTCTAATTGACACAAAGCCTTCACAAAACAGTTTACTACACATTTAGATATTTAAGAGTAGATACTTTATTCATCAGTGTAATTATTGTAAAATCAAATCTACTTAACTTCTTGTTTACAGATAGTGCATTAATTTAAAAATAACTTATAGCATCTTAGAGTACTTCTTGTGGTTTCAAAATGGCATGTTTGTTAGTTAAAGGAATTTTTCTTTAGCTATATTTTAATTTAATTGGGATAGAATCGATTTAATTAATATAATTAAACATCTCATGAAATTTCCTATTATATTAGAGCTGGTTGTGATGAGTCTATAATATTAACACATTATAAAATTTGAGAAGAGTGAGTGCAGCTAGAAAAGTAATGCAAAAATGTCCATGTTTCAGTTAGTTTTTAAATGCTGCCTTTAATTTTGAGCCAGGACAGGTATTTATTTGAATTTATTGGATGCAGCATATCAAGATTTTATAAATCATAGTGTGAAGTTTTGCAGACAGTCAAGAAAACCATGTGTTGTAGATTCAGGGCATAGTGCTGATAGAAAAACAGAGAGAAGAGAAGAAGTAGGGCAGTTGGTTCGATTTTCTTTTATCTGTTTTATTGTTTTTCCTTTAAAGAGCCCAAGACACACACATCTAGAAAAATCCAATGGAAAATTGGGGTATAGAAGAAGGGAGAAGAGGCAATAGAGAATCACTAGAGCAGTTTTATATTACTTTCTCTTATCCCTTAGGGTTACAATTAACTTATTAGGTAATAAAGATGTTAGATTTGCTTATTGGTTTTTGACTGTATAAGTTGTCTACATAATAGCATACCATAATCAGTGATGAAATATATCACAAGAAATTTGGGATAACATCTTAAAAATATTAAAAATTCTCCTTAGCAGTGCTTTTCTTTTGCCATGATGACTAATTTTTGAGCTGGGGACTTGTTACCTCAGTAAAGGAAAGAAGAAAAACTACCAAGGAAGGATAAAATATAAGTCCTAAGCCTAGTTTATAACATAAAATAGTGGGAAATAGAATATTCTTTTTATGCTGGGAGAGAAATTATAGGGGATAGGTGAAAAGTCAGATAAATTGAAATAGGGCTAGTGCCAAATAGTTTGACCAAGCATCTTAGATAATTAATCCTCTAACCTTCCTTGGAGTTAAATGTTGGGGGAAGCAGGAGAGGACAACTTGGTAAGTTTGGGATAACATCTTGATTCTCAGATATAGCCTATAATACCACAAAAAGGCTTAGCACTCATCTTTCCCTATTGCTACATCTTGATAATTTAAGCTTATTCCAGGAGGGAAATAAGAAAAAGTGAGACAGACAGTTCAGAGTTAATTGAGGTGAAAATAATTTGCTTTAGATCAGTGATTTTTACATCAGTGCCTTTTAAAATGCTGGTCATAACTCATTAGTAAATGATGAAATAAATTTGTGGGTTTAAAACAGCTTGAAATAGGAAAGTGCAAATGCCCCCTTACTTGGTGCATAGTGAGTGGTAAGTGTTGCTTGGTAAAATTTGAAGATAAGTTTTGTATCTGTAGCTAAATTTATATATTTGCACACACACATGCATATACCTATTTATGTTGTGCTATATCACAATGAAAAAACAATATTTTTACACAACTGTGATCTTTTTTAAATTGAAGATAAAGTTACCTTAAATGGAACTTTTAGTTTTGTTTATTTACTGCCAAATGGTAATAGAGAATTCAGAATAAACATGAGACCTGTGATTGAAAATAACTTAATTTTCTTATATCTGATATTTGCCATGTAAATGTTGATCCCATACACCACAAGCAGTTAATGTACTTGAGTATATGTATCATTTACCTTACTAGACTATAGTGGAGTTAAGATTACATATTAAATATAAGCACTTTGTACTGTATTCTTATAAGTTTTCTTGATTGAATAGAAGTAGTAGAGTGAAAGTATACTTAACTCTATGTCATTTACCATTAGAGTCAGAATGGAAAATGGTGGGTCTTTTTGCATTAGGATTCTGTTACATGTCCCCTACTCTTAAGTTATTTTCAGACCCTGAGGAATGAAGGAAATATGTGTTGAGGCAATTGGCTTCTGTATTCTAATCATTATCCAGCTATCTCAACAAATCTTCATAATAATTTGTATATTATTTTGGGTTTTCTATTTAAATGATATCATGTGTAAAGAAACAGTTTTATTACCTTCTTTTGAGCCTTGGTACTTCTAAATATTCATCTCATTACTCTGGCTTTAATGTCAAGTAAAAGACAGCAAAAGGATGATAATGGACCATCTTTTGCTTTTTAAAGTCCATTTGTATAGCTTTCATTCCATTTATGTCAACTTAATACATATGTTCTTAACAATTATGCTTAGATTATTCTTGCAAATGTCATAAGACATTAAACAAAACTATTTATCATCTCAAATTTTGTCTACAGTCATGCATTTATAACAAAAATAGAAAAGACAAAAGTTAAATATATTTTTTACTTTTTTTGCTGCTATGACTTATATACCTGAACTAATGGCTATCAAACATTCCATTTCTACTGCATTTTCACTTGTATTTTGTTCTTAGGTAGCCTCAAACATTTAAATATAACTAAATATTTTAACATAATAAATAGCAAATAACACTACAAATAATGGAACATGAAGATTTATATACTTAGCCACAGAACAGTGTGTCATAGCTTTCTCCAAAGGAACACTTCTGTATCTGTTGTCAAAAAGTGTGCACATTGAGATCATGTACTCTATAGATACACATATTATCTCTTCATAGATTTATTTCTACTATAGTCTTCAGATCCAAACCTTTAAAGTAACTACAGTAACTACATTTTGACCAGAATCCCCATTATCTGTCAACAGAACAAACCAATATGTGGCAGATTTCTTTGCTTAAATGTGGAAGCATTTAAGGGCTTTATGAATCTACACTGTACCAAAAGTACTATGTAAAACCCTTAGAAGTTACATAAAATTTCTACATCCTTATATTAAACACTTGAAAATGAAAATAGATAACTCCCCAAATGTTAGCTGGCCCTACTTTCCTAATATTAAAATCCACACAAGGAAGGTAGATTATTATATAGAATAACAAACATTTTGCACACCATAGACCAAAACTATTTTTACAGAGGAAAAAATATTCTATTATGGAAATTTGAGTATGAGACAAATGAAAACTGGGAGGCTAGTTAATTTTCCCACTTCAGTTTTGTTTCCTTGGATATCAGCCTGGTATGATAGATTGGCTGCATTTCCTTTTAACTATTTTCAAAAGCTTCTTGGTATGCTTGTTGTGGCCAATTCCACAGTCACTTTCCTGTCATCACTAGGAACAACCAGAGTCAAGTAACTTCATAGTCTCCTTTCATTTCCAGATGGAGGACTGTGCTTTCTTTCTATAAAATGCTGAGATCAAGAACTTTTCAGAGACATACTGCATTATTGCAGACGTGCTACTAGATTGGTCCCAGTTTTCTGTGTAGTCACAACTCAGTTGTTTTTCTCAGCATATTTCATCAGAAGCTCAGTGTTTGAGATGATCCTCCAAAATGACCTATAGTTTCCTACAACAGTTTTAGAAATCACTGAAAAAAATTTATCTCTTCATGGGATAATTTAGTTCCTTGCTCAGCTACAGACTTCTGTAACGGCACATTTTTATCCATGACTGCATGTTTTGCATCTGGAGGTTGTGGTGGTAGATGGACATGGCTCAACAGTCTCTACCTTTTGTTTTTCAAAGATACTTTTATTGGATTAACCATATTCCTCTCTATTACTGAATTATTAAATGGGTTTATTGTAATCATGAATTTAGATTGAATTTCATGTTACCCTTCACTTATTCGAAGTAACCATATTGTTTTTTACTTCGATGTATTAATGTGGTAAATTACAGTTATTGATTTTTCTAGTCAAAAATCTTAGGAAAAACACTTTTATACATTTTCTTTTTATATAAATTTCTTTTACTTTTAATTTTCCTATGTATCTATAATAAGTATATACAGTTTGATTTTTTAATTTTATTGAAAAATATACGGTGCTACCTATGACAATATAGGACTTTTTCTACCAATGATATATTGCCAAGCTTCATACATATTATTGTATATAAATGTAATTCACTCATTTTGATTGCCTTGTATTTCATTATATAAATAATTTATTATATATTCATACTATTTTTAAGGACTTAATTATAAACTTGAAAATTTATTATGCATTTATTTTCATTTTATTTGAAAGGGAGAGAGAGAGAAATATCCTCTACCTACTAATTTAATCTCCAAATGCATGTAGCAGTCAGAGCTGGGGCAGATCAAAGCTAGGAACCAAGAACTCATCCAAGTCTCACACATGGGTGGCTGGAACCCAAGTACGTGAAGCATCATCCAATCCACTGCCTACCAGTTTGCACATTAGCAAGAGGCTGGATTAGAAACACAGTGACTAGAACTAGAACCATACAGTCTTTTATGAGATGTAGGCATAGCCAGTGGCAACTTAAGTTTCTGTGCTAAATACTCACCTCAGATCTTAATTATAAATTTCAGTAATGACTATGGCATGTAAGTGGTTCAGGGATATAAAACTTGTCTAATGAAATAAAGAACTAGACTCATTCGTTCATACAAATTATGAGGTGACTCACTTTCAGAAAGGAAAGGTGGGAGGATCCAGTAAATGTGGGATGACTGAATAGAATAGGAGAACAAACTATCAACAAAAGTCAAACTATCTCCAGATATATTAAGGTCTTCAATATTGA